TCGATTCTCCCCCTGAAGTGAAGACTCCGAATAATACATGTCATTTTCATGAAATACCACATCAAGAGTGACATATAGTTTGCGAGAGTGGGGGTGATAACATTGATATCCTTTTTGATGTGATGAATTGCCAACAAATACACAGTGAAAAGCTCGAGGTTCCAATTTAGTTCTCAAAGGTTTATAAAGATGCACAAAAGTCACACACCCAAATATTCGAGGGGGTAGATTTGGGACAGTGGGAGCACTTACAGTCTAATGAAGAACATTAAAAGGTGTCTGAAATTGTAAGGAACTAGAAGAGACGCGATTGATAAGATAAGCAGCATTAATGATGGCCTCGTCCCAATAGCTAGTATCCATGTAGGCCCCGAACAAGGAAGCACGGACAACTGCGAGTAGGTGATGATTTTTTCACTCTGCAACTCCATTTTGTTAAGGTGAGTAAGGACAAGTGGTCTGGTGAACAATTCCATGTATTTGTAGATACTATTTCAAATCTTGATTAACAAATTCACCACCATTATCAGTACGAAGCACCTATATCTGAGATTGATATTGAGTGGCTATCATTTTGTGAAATTTTTGAAATAGTGAACTAACTTCATGTTTGGATTTCATCAAACAAACCCAAGTCATACGAGTGTGATCATCAATAAAGGAAATAAACCAACGTGCACCACTTAATGAAGAATTATTGGCTGGGCCCTATACATCAGAATGAATTACCATAAATGGTACAGGACTCTTATTCATACTTATTGGAAATGGCACGCGATGACTCTTGGCCAGTTCACAAATATTACACTTGAAATCCGAAATATTACATTGAGAAAATAACTTTGGAAATAATTTTTTTAAGTATCCAAAAGATGCATGACCTAACTGCCTATGCCACAACCAAATTTTTGAAGTCTTATCAGAGCAATCTGCTGCGTAAACTTGTGCCAACTGATTAGAGCCAGTCTGTAATAGATCAAGGTGATAGAGTTTTCCCTTCCTAGTACCATAACCAATTGTCTCCCGAGTGTTGATGTCTTTAAAAACACAACGATTAGGCCAAAAAATCACAATACAATGTAGAGCACAAGTAATTTGAGCAACAGATAACAAGTTATGGTTGAGAGAAGGGACAACGAGAACTAAATCCAAATTCAATTTATTTGAAAGAGTAAGTGAGCCTTCTCCAATCACAGGAGAGGAATTACCATCGGCAGTAGATACTACAGGATGTATGGATAGTTTTATAGAGTGAATACTCTAAGTGTCAAGGGTCATGTGATCAGTTGCGCCAGAATTAATTATCCATGTATTATTACTACTAGATGCAGAAGTATGAAGGACATTACCATTATTACATGAAGTAGCAATCAGAGACGAGGCTTTCTCAGGAGAATTCCTTGTAGGTTCAATCATGGAATTATCATTTGCAGGTTCAGTTATGGTGATAGAGGCCTGACGGTTAGTTTGTGAATTTCGCTTGCGTGGCACCTCGTAGGATCCCACCAATCTGGGTATCCGATCAGTCTATAACATCGGGATTTAGAATGATCAATTTCACCACAGTGAGTACAATATCAATCTGACTTTGCAGCACCAATTTCATAACTGCCTTTCTAGGATCGAATAGAATCAGCACTAAGGTTCAGTAATTTTATCACGGTAGTCTAATTCTTGGAAAATTTCTACCAGCTCACCATAATAGACAGAGAGGGGACGTCCACCTTGTTTGGTAGAAAATGCTCTTTGATTCAACGTAAAGATCTGTGATTCATCTGACTCGTCATAAAATGCTTTGGCAAGTGCAGTCCAAATTTCACGGGCCGTTCGCAGTCTAATGTAGCGTTTCATAATCTCCGGTGACATAGAGGTCAGTAACCAGCCTTTAATTTTCTGATTTTCAGCATACCACTTCGCATAAATAGGGTCGGTCTCCTTCGAGGGGTCAGTTTTGCCCACAATATATTCCAGTTTTTAACGACTCGTAATGTGCATCTCTAAGATCTGGGACCAAACATCGTAGTTGGTTTCGGTGAGAGTAATACCGGCATGAAAGCCAAAGGATTCAGACTGGACATGAATAACAGGTAAAGAAGCTTCATTTTTTACGGAGGATTCAATGGGCATGGTGACTTCGATTTTGTCAGCAGCCTTATGATAATTTCTGATGGTTCAAGAGTTACAGGTGATGGTATGTATGGGCTGGCTCTAATACCAAGAAGTGAATCAGAGAAATATTTTTCTTTCTTATGAAATATTACAAAGACTGATGGGTATAAATAGTCAAGGTAAATCTCTAATTTAGGAAAATTATATCACTCAATATACAATTAACCTAAATACATAATCAATCTACAGAACATAATCAATTTACAGAGTAAATCTTGGGTTCTAAATGGTAGTGGGAGAGAATCATGAGATTATGATTGTGCACCAGCTTGGAGAAAATCATGGAATTGTAACAGTCTCAAAATCACTAATTGATGCCAAAAATAGTTCAACAAGGTGGAGATTGTTAATCAATTGGACTGTCTCACTATTTATTTGGGCTTTTATTTGTGTATCCGAGTTGAACCTTCAATAAAAAAGTGAATTCTTGGAACAAGCTTTTGGTCTCATATTAGTGATGAGATCTGGCCTTGCACGTGGTGCATTTGCAGGCATTGTATCTGTGGTTCGAAGTGCCATATAAATAGTACCCCACAATTGGTTTCACAGCATTCTTGTGAATGAGTGTGTTATTGTTCTAGGGTTTTTCTGGCTCTTCGTGTTCTCTTCATCTGTTCTTCAATCTCTCTGAAATCTTGAGTGGATTCCTTTGTTGTACTTAATGTATAATTGGTGACATTGAGTGTAGTTTACTATGGTGAACTTCGCATGTAAGGCGAGAGTAAAACCTTATTTGTACTACACCATTCTTAGTTGATTTTAGTGGATCTAGAGTAATATCTACTTGTAGATACTTAACAGGTAGGTAGCATGCACGTGAACATTCGACCACTTTGTAGATGAAAATTCTTTGCGTTGATTTTCGATTTTTACGATTTACTTTTTGCAAACGTTTTTGGTAAAATTGAATGTTTATTTCAACTCAATTGGGATGGACCAACAATATTCTCTCTTCTTGGCTCTGCTTCAGTTGCCATTTTCATGGCTCCCAACTATACCTATTTACAAATTTTTGAATAAAGTCACGAGGTAATTAAGACCTTTTTGTTAAAGGCAATTGTTTGGTGAGTTTTAAATAAAATTTGCTACATTATTCACATGCCATTTCATTCTTTGATTGTGAAATCATATTTTACAGATCTTGAATTCTTATTCACGGGTTCTTAATAAAGACTTTTTTATTGATGTGAAATTAAAGAATATGCTTTTTTGCTTAGCAATTTTACCTTCGCATGCCTTGTTGTTTATGTTCGAGATCGAATATAAGGCTTTGTGTTACATGCTTGCTGACCCTGATCTGGATTCACATATGATCTGATGGTTTTAACTTAAATAGTGCTTGATGATAACGACATATGTTCGCATAATGCAAGCTTAGATAATATCACAATGACATTCGATATTCTTGCCATTGATCACCGTAAATTTTACAGATAACAACCTATAAAATGAAATCAAGAAGTGAATCTTCCAACCCCATTTATAAAATTGAGCAAAAACGTCGAAAATTTAGGAACCTCAAGAGAGAATTTTTGTGTTTGAAACTCCACCTAAAGCTCAAAATATTTATGCAAGGAGTTCAAGAAGTTTGTTTCCAATAAAATCCTACAGAATGTAAAGGACTAAATCGTCCATATGATATTAGAACATTAAGCTTACAAAAGAACAGAAATTGGCCTATCAAGTTCCACATCAACAGCCTCAGCATCGTCCTCCACAACCTGAACCACAGCAAGTGTTACGTAATACGTTTCGGGATACGACTTATTTGAAATTTATATTTGAAGGAAATAATTCCTAAAAAAAAATCTTTCTGTGAGATTCGATGTATTCTATAGTTACTTGCCCACAGAATTCTTTTTGGGACAATTAGGCATTAGTTTCAGCTTGCGCCTATCCCATACTTCATGTATAACTCCAGGATTAGGAGTTATGATCTATGCTAAGGTCGATTGCTTGTTATTGATGCATGAATCTATTCTTTTTGAACATGTTTAAACCAGGTCGATGTGTCTTTTCATTGATTCGGCATAAATTAACACCTAAATGGTTTGAATTTTGTCTATGGACAATTCCGTCAATGGAATCCATCCTTAATTTTTGATACCTTTAATTATCCTTTTAGTTATTTTAGGGGTTGTGGTCGAGGGTAGTGGATAGGTGTAGGATACGTGGATTAATTGAGAAAATAAAATATTTTTCTGATATTAAAATATTTTAAATTCTTTTAAGTGTGACTAGTTTTGCACTTTTTAGAAAATTTGAAGCTCTAAATTTAATTTTTTATATTATTTCTTTCTTCTCTATTTGATAATTTAAATATGATGGTAAATTAGTCATTTTACAATGCTTTAATAGAAAAATGGAATGTAAGAACCTTTTTTGTAAAGAAATGTCAATTTGAATGCCCAAATATCAAAATTGAAACGGTAGGAATAATTTACAAAATGAAGAATAGGGACTTCTGTGCTAATTACGCATTTTCATGGAATGATTTAACCGAACATGATGGAAATGATAAACTTCGTAAGAAAGGTTTGAAAAGAGGATGTAAATGTCAAGTTTGAAGTGATAGGAATTATTTTTTCAAGAGAGCAAATTATAGGGATTTTTATTTATTTATTTATTTTTATTTATTTTTGGTTAATTATCCTTTCAGAAAGTATAAACAATAATTTGTTGGTCCTTTAGTGCAAAAAAGTGAAAAAGAAAAATGGAAATCACCAAAATATCCACCTTCTAGAACATTCATGGGGACGGGTATCACTGTAGCCTAATATTCCAGCCAATACTAATTAAAAAAAAATAAAATTCCCTAATAAAAATAGATAAGCACTAATGCATGTATACACCCGGAAACCAGGTGGATAGATAAATATTACAGAGAGGCGCCGCCTATCGAACCCGACAACCCGAATCCTCAAACAATGGATCCAGATTCAGTTGCCAAGGCATTCGTTGAACACTATTATTCAACGTTCGATGCGAATCGGGCCGGGCTCGCTAACCTTTACCAGGAAGGCTCGATGTTGACATTTGAGGGCCAGAAGATCATGGGATCTCAGAATATCGTGGCGAAGCTCACCAGTCTGCCGTTCCAGCAGTGCAAGCACCATATCACGACAGTTGATTGTCAACCGTCTGGGCCCGCCGGCGGTATGCTTGTTTTTGTCTCCGGTAATCTCCAACTTGCCGGTGAACAGCACGCGCTCAAGTTCAGTCAGGTACGATTTCATTCTTTATGGTTGTTCGAACGAATCGGTTACATGTGCTTTGTAGTAATGAAATCGTGCTCCAATTTGCACTAATGAGATCATGTTTATTTGTCCGTACATTGGATATTGATTTGCAATAATTGATTGGTTTCATAAGTTCAATGGCACTTGATTTGCAATGGTTGATTGGTTATTAGTTCATTGACACTTTGATTTGCGATAATAGATTGGTTATTGGTTCATCAGTTCATTGGTTGAAATGGAACTGCTGTAGCACAAGTAAATAGTGTTTTTAATTGAACAACTGTGTTAATTGATGGGTTGGATGAGTATCATTGAAGTTGGATACTGTCATTAGTGGTTGCTGTGTAAATGCTGATTTCTTGAATATGATGGAGAACTTGGAATGTTTATCACTCATGAAATGCTATGGGATTAAAAGACTGTTACAAAAAACAAATCCTTTATAGCAACAAGTGTTAACATCTTAAAAGGACGAAGCGTCTAAAAGATAAACATAATAAAAATGATGCTAGGTTGGATGTGTAGTAATACTTTAATGAATAAGATAGGAAATGAAAATGTACAAGTGAAGGTGATACGATTTGAGAATAATCTATGCAAAAGATGACATGGTTGAGGGAAACATGTTACTCTATAGTTGCACTGTTAGCAAAACATATTACGAGAGGGAAGAGTAGAACCAATTCTAATAATATAATCTTTAACGATTGTCAAAGATCTGGTTGTTTTGGACTTTGGAGCTTGCAGTAAACATACTAATAATGACTAGGGTTTGGTTCACATAAAAAGTAGGTAGCTTAAGTGCATTGTGCAAGTTGCGAAATTACCATTGAGGGAAGGGTAGAGTAAAACTAATATAATATTTAATTGTTGTCAAAGATGTAGTTGTTTTGGAGATCCTGTACATAATAATTGTTTACATCCGAAATAGGTACTTGACGTGCGTTGTGGGAGTTTCAAAATATACTATTGAACGAGTTATTTAAGGAATTAAATGTGTGTTGGATCTATTATGTCATTGTAATGTTTGTGCACATGGCAGTGATGCAAACATGGTCGAAATTCTGAAGTTGCCGGTGTAGTTATAAGTGCTCTAGGCTCTCTGAGGTCTGTGTTTTAGGTACAATTAAGGAAAGTTTAGAAATGAATTCGGAGCGCGAAAGGGCTCCACGGACCTGGGTTTTTGTTGCCTACTTGCTTAGATACTGCCAACTAATTTACACTCTTAAGAACAATACGTACTAATTTTGAAAAGCACGCTGTTGAGACCTTTGAATGAAGAGTTGGTGCATTATACATAGTATATTGTAAGTATTTTGTTGCTAATCATTGAAAAAGCTAGGAATTATCAATCATGCAGTATACTGGGGTCTGCATAAACTTGCTGGATCGATGTCATAAAGATTTTTATTTTATGATCACCGTCGTTTTAGTAATACAGTAAATAAGCATGCATCATTGCTCGATTAGAAAGAAAAATGCTTTCAGGGAGCCACAAGCAACTGGTTTTTGAAAGAACTCTTCTTTCTATGACTTCTCTTTAGCATTTTCCGTGGATAAAAATATTTATTTTCTGATATGGAAGCTTGTCTTCTCTTCTTGTAATTATTGTCTCACCATCTGATCATATTCTTGACCTTTTACCATTTTTTCACAGATGTTCCATTTGATGCCAACACCACAGGGAAGCTTCTATGTGTTCAATGACATTTTCCGCTTAAACTACGCATAATGGATTGTGCATGGATTTGGAAATTTGTCTGGGGAGTGTTATGAATTGATCGCATTGGAACATGTGAAGTTAAGATGCTTTAGGAGTCCAAAGTTGTTGATTTACTTTCATCTACTTGGCTGTTTGATTATTTCACTTGCTATGAAGTTTTTGGACTAATCCCTAGTTGAAATGGGATGAATAGATTGGTTTGATTTGTGAACCTGTTTAGTATTTAATGGAATGAATTAAATTGTACCTTCTTTTCATTTAGTGATGTTGCCAAACTGACCTTGTGAAGTTACTCGATTTTTGTTGTTAATGATTGTGAACTCGAGGAATGAAGATCTTATTTATAACGTTGTGCCTGCTCACGCGTTTTTTGAACTTCACCTCAACCCCTTGATACCCCCTCCTCTAACAAGCATTAATCTCCAGAGCATGCAACCATGAAATACGTGTTCAGTAGAATTTGACATAAATTTCTTTCGCTCGTACAATTGTTAGATTTTGAAATGCTGCTGTTTAACTAAATTTCTTACAGTTCCCCGGGGAAGGAGTATCAGGCAAGATCCCAACAAAAAGAAAGCAACGAGAATTCTTAGATTTTTTTTTTGGGGG